TAGACAACTCAAACAAATATACACACCCAGTAGGGTTTTTTACCATTTTTTTTTTTGTTTGTTTAGTTTTTTTTCCCAAAGATATACTAGGTATCCCCTATCCATTACGTGCATTCAGTGTCCCCAAAGCGACACGTACAGTTTCCTGCACAGATGGTCTTTAAAAGGATAAGGTTATTTAATCTGATTTTCGGTAGACGTTCTTAATATAGACAGGGTGGTTTGACCCTGGAAGGAGAAGGGTTAAGAATGGGATGTTATAAAGAAATCTTTTAAGTGTAAGCTTTAACCCTTTGACTTGAATAATTAAGTGTCGAAAAATTACTATCCACGTCTTGATTAAAGAGGAATCGTCACAGAAGCGGGAAGACTATAGAGACTAACTGTTACATTCAAACCCTTTCTGACCCAAGGAGCATGTATATGGCTAAAGGATCCTGTCTTATACTAAAGATAGGGATTTATTTTGCTTTTTTTTTTTTAAATATATATATTTTAAAAATATCTATTTCCTTTCGAAACTTGCTGAAAGGATTATTCTATTAACATATAGTTTTAAGGGGACAGTTGACCTTTAAATCTCACTAGTTTTAACTTTTAATTTACAAGGCTTGCCTTGGCACGGCAGACATGCTATGTAAATCAAAGGGACAGCATTGCACGAGTACATAATGTAGACACCTGAGGGATCACGACTGGTCTGAGACTTCACTGGGTGGTGAATCTGCCCTGGATATGGAGGCATAGAGGAGGTAAGTGTGCTTTTTAACTTACGTTTACTGCCTTATGCACCCAAGCAAAACAATTCAATAGCGTTTATTGGAGTGGGGATGCCAAGAGCTGTCACTCCCACAGAAGTATATATATATAAATGTAGACCACCCAGGTGCAGCAGAAAAAATTTTCAATAAAGGTAATCACTTCCCTTATAAGTCAGGTAGTAACAAGAGGGTTCCTCAAAGGTCCTCAAAATGCAAATATAAAATATAAGATACACCTAAAAAAAAATTAGGACAGAGAAAGATTCATAGGGCAACACTATAAAATCAAAGATGTGGCCCCTTTAAGTAAATATTGCACTCACAAGATGTTGGAATGTTAAAAGCCCGTCAGAATGTCTTTCAATATTCAGCCACCAACGTCCTCAGAATCCCAGGGTACATATTGAAAGGAAAAAACTGGACATAGTATAATAATGCTTAAATATTAAATTACACTTTAATTGAATACACTTACAAAAAGTGGAAGATAAAAAAGCTCGTCAATAAGTCTCTATATCAGTCGATTTCAGCTGGATGAGAGACCCAAAATAAGCCTTAGTGTGTGGCTCAACGCGTTTTGTCTCCCAAATGGAGTCCAGAGTTCATTTTAAAGGTCTTCTTATCATTCGTTCCCCCAATCAGGGACGCCGGAATCACCTGTTCTTGGTTGCCTCGTCTGTTCGTTACCAAATAAGGACTTTTTTCGTGGAACGCATATGCGCTCCACCGGCCGGCGGTCCGCGATGACATCATCAATCAGCGTGTGGAACGCATATGCGTTCCACTTCAAGCGATCTCGGAAACAAAAAGAAAATACTGAGAAAAGATGCTACAAGCATCAATAATCAGGCGAAAGTGCACCCAAATACTTCATATGAAATCCATCAGATATAAATTAGATATACACATTGATGAGTCAACACACATAAATCAATATACATTGAGTGCTATTAACAGAGGGAGAGAAATTGATGGAATCACAAGCTATAATCCCAAATAGGGATATAAGGAAAATAAAAATAAAAAATAAAAATAATAATAAAAATAAATAAATAAATAAATAAAAATAAAAGTAAAAATAAAAATAAAAATAATAAAAATGAAAATAAAAATAGATCAAATTAATAAATTAAAGAAAACAAATTAAATCAAAATCTACATTCAACCCTAGTGGTTGAAGAGTTTTAAGCTTGTGTATCCAAAAACCCTCCCTCTGTCTAAGTCTAATAACAATATCACCTCCCCTCACACCAAGTGATATCTGCTCAATAATCACCCAGGAAAATACATGTGTATCAAAGAGTGGACAACGGTTACAGTGTGCTTAACCATTCTGTTCCAGTACACTGTAACCGTTGTCCACTCTTTGATACACATGTATTTTCCTGGGTGATTATTGAGCAGATATCACTTGGTGTGAGGGGAGGTGATATTGTTATTAGACTTAGACAGAGGGAGGGTTTTTGGATACACAAGCTTAAAACTCTTCAACCACTAGGGTTGAATATAGATTTTGATTTAATTTGTTTTCTTTAATTTATTAATTTGATCTATTTTTATTTTCATTTTTATTATTTTTATTTTTACTTTTATTTTTATTTTATTTTTTTTATTATTATTTTCATTTTTTTTTTTCTTATATCCCTATTTGGGATTATAGCTTGTGATTCCATCAATTTCTCTCCCTCTGTTAATAACACTCAATGTATATTGATTTATGTGTGTTGACAAGCACTCATCAATGTGTATATCTAATTTATATCTGATGGATTTCATATGAAGTATTTGGGTGCACTTTCGCCTGATTATTGATGCTTGTAGCATCTTTTCTCAGTATTTTCTTTTTGTTTCCGAGATCGCTTGAAGTGGAACGCATATGCGTTCCACACGCTGATTGATGATGTCATCGCGGACCGCCGGCCGGTGGAGCGCATATGCGTTCCACGAAAAAAGTCCTTATTTGGTAACGAACAGACGAGGCAACCAAGAACAGGTGATTCCGGCGTCCCTGATTGGGGGAACGAATGATAAGAAGACCTTTAAAAGGAACTCTGGACTCTGATATAATGTGATGCTTCATTTTATTTTTTGTTATTGTATTATTATATTTTATTGTATTTTACTTCATTTGCTCCTGAGGAAGTCTCCATTTGGGAGACGAAACGCGTTGAGCCACACACTAAGGCTTATTTTGGGTCTCTCATCCAGCTGAAATCGACTGATATAGAGACTTATTGACGAGCTTTTTTATCTTCCACTTTTTGTAAGTGTATTCAATTAAAGTGTCATTTAATATTTAAGCGTTATTATACTATGTCCAGTTTTTTCCTTTCAATATGTACCCTGGGATTCTGAGGACGTTGGTGGCTGAATATTGAAAGACATTCTGACGGGCTTTTAACATTCCAACATCTTGTGAGTGCAATATTTACTTAAAGGGGCCACATCTTTGATTTTATAGTGTTGCCCTATGAATCTTTCTCTGTCCTGATTTTTTTTTTAGGTGTATCTTATATTTTATACTCCCACAGAAGTGACACATCAGATCTAATACATTTTGGGAATTCTATTCATAGAGTAATGGATACAAGGACTGAGGCATCAGAAGATTTAATAGGTTATTTATTTGCAAGGTTTGAGACAGAATATTATTATTCTACTTTATTTATAGCGCTCTCCGTTGGTCCACTTGGCAAGGGTAAAACGAAAAATATAGAATAAATCCAAGAGACAATACTACATTTGTCAAACAGGAGGAGTTAAGGGCCATATTCTCGTGGGAACTTACACGCTAGGTGGATAGGAGGTGTGGGAAACACAAGGTGGGGACTGCAAATGTGAGGGTGATGTTGATACAGAGTGAGATGGTACGTTTATTGATTAAGAGGGATGGCGAGAGCCTAAAATTCAGTGTCAGAGATTAGTTAAAAGTAAGTTCACTGGCAAGGAAGGGGTTAAGTTAAACTGCTTGTGAGCTACTGAACAAGACAGGTGCCCAGACACACGGTCTTTATGAGCCTCTAATATGAACAAATAGGCTGCTGATTGAGGGAAGACTGAGTGGGCTGTGGGTGGAGAACTCAGCTAGCGCCACTCACTATAGTTACATTTAACCCCCATCTCGTTATTTTATTTTACCAAGCATTGCTTACATTGAGCTTACTATCCCTCAGCTTAGACTAGAAAAGCATTCACTTTAAAAACATTCTGTAATCATCCATTTTAATCCTGAACTTTCTGATAGCAGAACACAATCTCTCACTGTGTTCCTCCACACTCCTTCTATTCTCTCATTCCGTCTTCCCCTCCCACTTTTCTTCTATCTTTCCTACCCTCAGGTTATTTTACAAGTTACAACGTTTCCATCGTCTACAGAGGAGACTCTCTTCCCCTGCCTTGCACACACCACATATTCACATTCTCAGACAACACACACCCACACACTCCATGCACACTTTACACAAACAGACTCAAACTCACACTCCATGCACACTTTACACAAACAGACTCAAACTCACACTCCCTGCACACGTTAAACACCCAGTCAAACATACATAGACACTCAATCTACACACTTTACACACCGACACTCAATCTACACACAACACACAGACACTCAATCTACACACTTTACACACACACTCAATCTACACACTTTACACACACACGCACTCAATCTACACACTTTACACACTGACACTCAATCTACACACAACACACAGACACTCAATCTACACACTTTACACACAGACACTCAATCTACACACAACACACAGACACTCAATCTACACACTTTACACACAGACACTCAATCTACACACTTTACACACACACACTCAATCTACACACCTTACACACACAGACACTCAATCTGCACACTTTACACACACACACTCAATCTACACACTTTACACACACAGGCACTCAATCTACACACTTAACACACCGACACTCAATCTACACACTTTACACACACAATCTACACACTTAACACACAGCCACTCATTCTACACACTTTACACACACAGACACTTAATCTACACACTTAACACCCCAACACTCAATCTACACTTTACACACACACACACACTTAACACACAGCCACTCATTCTACACACACACACAGACACTTAATCACACTTTACACACACAGACACTAATCTACACACTTAACACACAGACACTCACACACACACAGGCACTCAATCTACACACTTTACACACACAGACACTTAATCTACACACTTAACACACCGACACTCAATCTACACACTTTACACACACAGACACTTAATCTACACACTTTACACACACAGCCACTCATTCTACACACTTTACACACACAGACGCTCAATCTAAACACTTTACACACACAGGCACTCAATCTAAACACTTCACACACACAGGCAATCATGCTCCCACACACTCATTCAGACACACTCTGCTGTCTCCCTCCCCTGACTCCTGGTGAATACAGCAGGATCACTAAATAGCACTTTTGTTAGGAAAGAATTCTGAAGACAGACACTCAATCTACACACTTTACACACACACTCAATCTACACACTTTACACACACACGCACTCAATCTACACACTTTACACACTGACACTCAATCTACACACAACACACAGACACTCAATCTACACACTTTACACACAGACACTCAATCTACACACAACACACAGACACTCAATCTACACACTTTACACACAGACACTCAATCTACACACTTTACACACACACACTCAATCTACACACCTTACACACACAGACACTCAATCTGCACACTTTACACACACACTCAATCTACACACTTTACACACACAGGCACTCAATCTACACACTTTACACACACAATCTACACACTTAACACACAGCCACTCATTCTACACACTTTACACACACAGACACTTAATCTACACACTTAACACCCCAACACTCAATCTACACACTTTACACACACAATCTACACACTTAACACACAGCCACTCATTCTACACACTTTACACACACAGACACTTAATCTACACACTTTACACACACAGACGCTCAATCTACACACTTTACACACACAGACACTTAATCTACACACTTAACACACAGACACTCAATCTACACACACAGGCACTCAATCTACACACTTTACACACACAGACACTTAATCTACACACTTAACACACCGACACTCAATCTACACACTTTACACACACAGACACTTAATCTACACACTTTACACACACAGCCACTCATTCTACACACTTTACACACACAGGCGCTCAATCTAAACACTTTACACACACAGGCACTCAATCTAAACACTTCACACACACAGGCAATCATGCTCCCACACACTCATTCAGACACACTCTGCTGTCTCCCTCCCCTGACTCCTGGTGAATACAGCAGGATCACTAAATAGCACTTTTTTTAGGAAAGAATTCTGAAGACAGACACTCAATCTACACACTTTACACACACACTCAATCTACACACTTTACACACACACGCACTCAATCTACACACTTTACACACTGACACTCAATCTACACACAACACACAGACACTCAATCTACACACTTTACACACAGACACTCAATCTACACACAACACACAGACACTCAATCTACACACTTTACACACAGACACTCAATCTACACACTTTACACACACACACTCAATCTACACACCTTACACACACAGACACTCAATCTGCACACTTTACACACACACACTCAATCTACACACTTTACACACACAGGCACTCAATCTACACACTTAACACACCGACACTCAATCTACACACTTTACACACACAATCTACACACTTAACACACAGCCACTCATTCTACACACTTTACACACACAGACACTTAATCTACACACTTAACACCCCAACACTCAATCTACACACTTTACACACACAATCTACACACTTAACACACAGCCACTCATTCTACACACTTTACACACACAGACACTTAATCTACACACTTTACACACACAGACGCTCAATCTACACACTTTACACACACAGACACTTAATCTACACACTTAACACACAGACACTCAATCTACACACACAGGCACTCAATCTACACACTTTACACACACAGACACTTAATCTACACACTTAACACACCGACACTCAATCTACACACTTTACACACACAGACACTTAATCTACACACTTTACACACACAGCCACTCATTCTACACACTTTACACACACAGGCGCTCAATCTAAACACTTTACACACACAGGCACTCAATCTAAACACTTCACACACACAGGCAATCATGCTCCCACACACTCATTCAGACACACTCTGCTGTCTCCCTCCCCTGACTCCTGGTGAATACAGCAGGATCACTAAATAGCACTTTTGTTAGGAAAGAATTCTGAAGACAGATGGGGACGTAAGAGGATAGGAGAAAGGGGGGAGTGTACAGGAGAGAGAAAAGGAGTCAGAGGAGGGAGAGAAAGAGAAAGAGAGTGAAGAAAAAAAGACAGAGGGAGAAACAGGGGGTGTAGGAGAGAAACAGGAAAGGATGGAGACACGGGAGCAGCAGGAGGGAGTTTAGAATCAATATAGACTACGGGAGAGAAAGAGGAGAGAACAAATTAACAGAAAGAAAAAGGAGAGAACAGTCAAGGAGGAGAGAAAGGGGGGACAATAGGGGTAGATACAGTGGAGGAGGGGTTAAAAGAAAAACTGAAGGGAAGAGAAAAGTAGGGAAAGAGGAGGAGAGAACATTGAGGAGGAGGGAATTGGACAGAAACAAATTACTCAGAGAAAGGATGAAAAGGAGAAAGGAGATTCATATACAGAGTGAAAGGAGAGCGTTCCAGGGAGAGAGAGTCAGAGTGATATAGAGACAGAAAGAGACAGTTTGAGAGATATAGAGATAGACAGAAACAGTCTGAGTGAGATTGAGACAGTCAGAGAAAGATACACTGACAGAGAGAGAGTGCGAGAAAAGTATCAACAGAGAGTTACTCATAGAGATAGATAGATAGACAGACAAATAGACAGACAGTCAGACAGAAAGACAGATATATGAATAGATAGACAGACAGACAGACAGACAGATAGATAGACAGACAGACAGAGACAAATGTAATCAGAGATAAACAGAATGAAGGACAGATAGTCAAAGATAGAGGGATAGGCAGGAAAGAAAATCAATAAACAACTTAAAAAAGGAAAAATTAAAAGAAAGCCACAGAGTGAGTGAGGCACACATAGAGTGCTGGTCAGAGACAATGATAGACAGGGAGAGATAGTGACAGACACGGTGATAGCTAGAGAATGATAGACAGACAGTGATAATCTGAAAGTGACAGAGACCGGCATTGATAGACAGTCACAGATTGACAGTCAGCGAGTGATAGACAGTCACTGAGTGACAGACAGTGAGTGATAGACAGTCACAGAGTGACAGGCACTGACAGAGAGTGATAGAGAGTCAGCAAGTGATATATAGTGAAAGACAGTGACAGAATGAAAGACAGTGACAGACAATCAGAAAGACATAAGGCAAGAAATTAGAGAGTAATAAAGTATTCAGAGGGGAATGACTAGGACAGGATGAATGAGGCACGAACCAGACTGTGTTATTAGTACATGGGGTAACAAAGTGTCAGACTGGGAGACACAGCTGGAGAGATATAAGGACCTAACAGACAGACTGAGAATACCGAACATGACAGTCTGAGAGAACAACACACTGAACAACACCAGGTCACAACACACACAGGTAAGTGTATCCGACTGATTTGTGTTTTAATGGGTGGATAAACAGGTGTACATATAAACAGAGAGACAGACAGACAGATAGACAGACAGACAGATAGATAGATAGATAGATAGATAGATACATACATACATACATAATACATAGCTAAACAGAAAGAATCTGAAAAGAGTGATAAGTGTTAAATCAATAATAATAATAATAATAATAATAATCAATGATACGGTTCCTCACAATAGGTTAGTCTTCAAACTAACAGAAATTGGTCTAGATGAATATTCTTGTTCTTGGGTAGAACATTGGCTTAAGGATAGAGTACAACGAGTTGTAATTAATGGTAAATTTTCAGGCTGGACAAAAGTGGTAAGTGGTGTCCCTCCGGGTTCTGTTTTGGGACCACTTCTATTTAACATATTTATAAATGATCTTGAAATAGGCATTGAAAGCCATGTATCAGTGTTTGCAGATGACACAAAACTTTGTAAAGTAATAAAATGTGAGCAGGATATTGCTTTGCTGCAGAGAGATTTGGATAGATTGGGGGACTGGGCACTAAAACGGCAGATGAAATTTAACATAGAGAAATGCAAAGTTATGCACTTCGGGGTTAAGAATGCACAAGCAACTTACACACTAAATGGTAGTGAATTAGGGATAACCACACACGAGAAGGATTTGAGAATTGCTATAGACAACAAATTAGGCAGCAATATGCAATGTCAACCTGCAGTTGCTAAAGCCAGTAAGATTTTGTCATGTATAAATAGGGGCATAAATTCTCGGGATGAAATTATAATTCTGCCTCTTTATAAATCGCTGGTAAGACCACACCTTGAATATGCTGTGCAATTTTGGGCGCCTGTTCTAAAGAAGGATATCATGGCACTGGAGAGGGTCCAGAGATGAGCTACAAAATTGATAAAAGGAATGGAGCATTTTAGTTATGAAGAAAGGTTAAAAAAATAAAATCTGTTTAGTTTGGAAAAACGGCGCCTGAGAGGGGATATGATAACTTTATACAAATATATTCGGGGCCAGTACAAACCTTTATCTGGAAATCTATTCACAAACAGGGCTATACATAGGACACGAGGTCACATATTTAGGCTGGAAGAAAGGAGATTTCATCTAAGGCAAAGAAAAGGTTTTTTTACAGTAAGAACAATAAGGATATGGAATTCTCTGCCCGAAGAGGTGGTTTTGTCAGAGTCCATACAGATGTTTAAACTGAAATTGGATAAATACTTACAAAAACATAACATACAGGGATATAATTTCTAATTAGTGGGGTAATAGCTGCTTGATCCAAGGAGACATCTGACTGCTATTTTGGGGTCAAGAAGGAATTTTTTCCTAGTTTGTGGCAAAATTGGAAGCGCTTCAGACCAAGTTTTTTGCCTTCTTTTGGATGAACAGCAACAACATTTGTGAGGAAGGCAGAACTTGATGGACGCAAGTCTCTTTTCAGCTATGTAACTATGTAACTATGTAATAAATTGTTTTATCCTAATGATATCAAATATCTAGCTGGCATAGCATTCCCATCTTCACCTACAATACAGGCTATAGTTAGAGAAGCCCTTTAATAAATTAATATTTGATTCTCAAATTGCAGTTTCTAAAAGTGCTGATTTCTATTTTCGGCACTTTTATAAAGAATTGCAAAAACACCTTCCTGGCTGTTATTCATATTCTGTTAGCTTCACAGAGCTATCGGAAGTGTCCTGCGCCCTCTGCTTCATTGCACCTGCCACCTCCCCCAAGTCATGGTGAAGCTATCATGAGGCTCAGTCCCCGGCCCGTCGCAGCAACCTGGCTCTGAGCCTACACAGCTCAAACTCAAAGAGTTTCTCAATGATTCTCACTGAAGGTCTGTGCTGGAGAAAAAGTGTAATGCTTTCAAATGCTGCAGACAATAGATCTGCAGCTTTTGCAATTTGGTTTTAGATATAATTGAATGTATGCATGTTTTCATTGGGTGTATATCTACTAAACAGTGAGTTTGTTATATACATTATTTTGTTTTTCTTTATTTGGGCAGTGGAGTATCACTTTAACTATTATAGCCTAAATAACGTAACCTAGTCCCCCACGTAACACATGGTTCTCCTTGGTCCACCATGTAACTTAGGATTTGCTATGGTTCTCCCATGTAACCCACCATCTTACCCCAACCCCACAGAGTAGCAGTGAAATCTCTTTATGTTAATGGATTACTGTGATTTCAATGACTGAGTGGAGACTCTGTATCATCCAGGACAGGAGTAAGTAATCATCGGCAATCTAGATGTTTTAAACTACATCCCCTATGATGTCTTGCCAATATTATGGTTGCACAAGCATTATGGGAGATGTTACCTACAACATATGGAATGTCGAAGGTTGTCTACACCTGAT